GCTTAAGTTTTCTGACTCTATACAGGAGGTTCTTGGAACCTATCCCCTGCAGATACAGGGGGTCTTGCTGTATACCCATTAGCCTTTTATCTACTAATATATAGGCTAACAAACTATTGTCAAGTCTTGTACTTATTTATCCTTTCTTAAACTACCTATTGCCAAACTTCTTTCTATATACTGTATATGGTAGTTCAAATACAGGCCTCCCGTTGTCATTTACCCTGGTATTCCAAACTTACCTACTATGCCATATACACCATTTTCTCATTTTTAGCATTTTTGTTCCCACAACATTTATTTCCTTACTTGGTTCAAAACTCCCTAAATATTCACTTAACACCTTCTAAAATCTCTTACTATAACCCCACTTCTTACATCCCACCTTATTCTAATCCACATATTGTAATTCTTGAATTTAAACACCCATACCCTGTTTTTGCCTTCCACAGTTGATAATTTAATAATACTACTACCCATTTTTAACCCTTACGAGCCACCATTTTTGATGTATATATACTCATAAATTCTAGCAGCTTCAAATCAAGCAGGAGAAAGCTGGCAGGCCCACATGTGAGAGAATGGGTCTGTGTGGTCAGTGTGCACCATATAAAAAAAATCCTGCAGCACACAGTGCATAAGGAGAAAAAAAACTCCGACCATTTTTTTTTAATTAAAATGCCGACTTTGTGGTCTATTTTCGCATAGTATTTATGGTTGTATTCTTGATTTCTTGGTCTCATTTGATAGAATGGAAAACATATTATAGAAATAGGGTGATTTTGATTGGTTTTACTATGTAAAGAACCTTGAAATGGAGCTCAAAGTAGGGGAAATCTTTGATTTTTGCCAATGTTCAAAAGTAAACAAATGATGTCATTGTCCAATAAATGTCCAAGTAGCCATTCTAATATGCAGTCATGAATGGGTTGACATTATTTATACAATTATTACAATATTGCAGTAGTCTGCATAACAGTAAATCTGCTATTTTTTGTTTGAATAAAAATTCAAAATAGAAAGCAAGAGTAATATCAGAGGGGCCTGGGGACGTAACTAATGAATAAAGAAAATATTATTTTAGAGCCAGGAATGTCTGCATTGTTCATTCTGGACCCTATTTTGAAATTGTCATATTTTTTTAATTTTCGTGAAATTGGCAAAATTGCAAATTTCTGACCACATTATTGGGTAGTTGAGATCAGTAAATGGGCAGTTTCTTGTACTCAATTGATAGAAAAAATGGAGTTCTAAAGAAATAGCTATGAGTTTGGTCGACTGGAACAATGGAATTAGCCAAAAATAGGGCTCAAAGTGGGCGAAATCGCCGATTCGTAAATATCACAGAGGTTGCTAACTTCGCGAGAGTGTAATTCCATCAGTTTTCCATCAAATTTCATTCTTTTGGTGGCATTACAATCGGGAAAAGATTCTCTATCATTTCGTAAGTTTTTTTTTTTTTTTTTTTTTTTTTTTTTGGCGACACCAGGAGACACCTCAGGATTTGGGGTTGTGACAGTCAAGGGGTTAAGCTCTAGCTCTCAGATACACCTGATTTAACCCCTTTTAATTCTCATTGAAATTATCCTACTTTATTCATCTTTGTTTTGTTTAAAGCTTGGACATCCAGCTTCTTTCATTCGTAACATTAACAATTAATTCTTTCTTTCCATCTGTACTACATCCTCGCACATTCAGAAAACCCAACTTCATGCTTCTGGCACTCTAGTCACCTTTCTTGAAATACATTACTTATGGAGGAAGAATTCTACTCTACCTCTCCATGGAGATGAAATGAAATGCTATAAGGACAAGAATTGTTTAAAAATTAAGAGAAACTCAGATGAGTGTATACACGTAAATGCACAATTGCACATGTAGTATGACCTAGGTGTTAGTAGTTGTATCAAGTTGTACCTGTCATCTTATTTTTTTTATTATTATTAACCCTTTCAGGGTCGACAGGCCCTCCCAGAGACTTGTTCTCAGGGTTGCCCAAATTTCAAAAAAAAAAAAAAATCCTTATGAAAAGATAGAGAATCTTTCCTGATCATAATGACACCAAAAGTATGAAATTTGATGGAAAACTTACGGAATTATGCTCTCGCGAAGTTAGCGGTCTCGACAATGTTTACGCATTGGCGATTTTGCCCACTTTGAGCCCTATTTTCGGCCAATTCCACTGTACTAGTCGACAAAAATCATAACTATTTCACTAGAACTCCATTTTTTCTATCGAATGAGTACAAGAAACCACCCATTTACCGATTTCAACTATCCAATACAGTGGTCAGAATTTAGCAATTTTGCCAATTTCACACAAATTTCAAAAGATGCCTATTTCCAAATAGGGTCCAGAATAAACAAGAAAGACAATCCTGGCACTAAAATAACATTTCCTCTGTTCATAAGCCACGTCCCCATGCCCCTCTTACATTCTTTTGCTTTCCACTTTGAATTTTTATTCTCACAAAAAAATAGAAGATTTACTGTTATGCAGAGTACTGTATTAGTGTAGAAATGGTATAAATAATATCAGCGCACTTGTGAAAGAATATTAGACTCACCAATTGACGTGTATTGGACACAGCATGATTTGTTTACTTTTGAACTTTGGTAAAAATTGAACATTTCTGCTACTTTGAGCTCAATTTCAAGGTACTTTTCATTGTAAAACCAGTCAAAATCATCTCAATTTCTGTAATATGTCTTCCATTCTATAAAATGAGACCAGGAAAACTAGAATACAACAATTAATACCATACGAAAATACAGTGCAAAGTCGTTGTTTTAATCCAAAAACACGGTCAAAGTTTTTTTTCTCATTATGCACTGTGTGCTGCAGGATTTTTTTATACCACGCACACTGACAACATAGACCCATTCTTTCATATGTAGGCCTACCAGCTTTCTCTCATTAGATTTGAGGGCACTAGAATTTAGGTGTACTAGTACGTCAAAAACCCTGGTGCGTAAGCCGTACTAGTACGGCCGAAACCCTGACAGGGTTAATACATCCCCCCCCCAAAAAAAAAATATGATCATCATTCACTCCATCACCATTATGCCAGAGGCATGCTTGAACTACAGTTATATAGCTGCAACATTAACACCCCTCCTTCAGAATGCAGGCACTGTACTTTCCACCTCCAGGACTCAAGTCTGGCCTGCCAGTTTCCCTGAATCCTTTCATAAATATTACCTTGCTCACACTCCAACAGCATGTCAAGTCCTAAAAATCTAACACATTCACACATGCTTGCTGGAAGTCCAAGCCCCTCACACACAAAACCTCCTTTACCCCTCCTTCCAACCTTTCCTAAGGCCTACATGTTTATCTGACAAAGAAAAAATGCCAGCAGCTCTACCAGAATGCAAAACAATTACAGGTTTCTAGTTCACACTCATTTGGCAGGATGGTAATAAAACACCTCTCTCTGTGGTTGCTGTCTACGAACCTTCTGCCTGTGGGAATAAATCCTAGAGCATTGCTTCTTTAAAAAATATTTTATCCATGCCTGCTAGTAATAAATTTATGGCAATTTCTTGATTAAAAATATTATAATTAGGGAATGGGCCTTATTAACTTAGTGTCTTACCTCAACATTGTCACTTAGTATTTTAAATATGATTTCCATAGAATTATTTGCAGTTCATTTTAGTCCAAATTGTAAAAAGAAATAAAAATGGGAACATTTGAAGAAGCATTGAAAAATCATATAAAGCAAAATTTCAGTTTCAAACCAAAAATAATAAATTAGAATATGTTTGTCTCAATACTACAGTTTATCACATAATATTTAGAGCTGAATGTTGCATACTAGAAATAGAGTAAGTTCAAAATATGCTTGTAATAATTATCGTAGCATTGGACAATGTACCTCTTATTTGACATTGTTTGCCCTCATATATTATTATTTCATTGAATAATATGTTAAATATAAGATGCCTCAAATGTTGCCTAAACTTACATCGTACAGAGATCCTGATCCTTTGTTTCAACAGCATGTGACTCATATGTCTTGCATTCAAAGTAATATTTGTGATGTTAGTCATTTTGTTCTAAGATAACATCTTTAAAGATGTACTGTACCTGTTACCAAGGTTGAGTTTTTCTACCCTTTCAGTGTAGCCTGAGGCCAGGCATTTCTGTTTATGAAAGTAAAGACACATGTGCAACATCTGGATATCTTTATTGTAGATAAAGATATCCAATAAAGATATCCAGATGTTGCACATGTGTCTTTACTTTCATATTGTCGGTATTTTATACCTTTCTTGCACAACTTGTCAGACACTGCAACATCATGGAATCTTGGTTCAGAGGACATCTACAAGACCTTCTTCATGGCTGCTGCAACTAACCCATCTCTTTGGGAAGGACCTACTTCCTCTGGGGAATCCCGCCTACCAGTGACTATGCCCCTGTCTGCTGCATGTCCTTATCCACTGACGCCTATATAACCGCCAGTCTTCTTGCCTTTACTCCAGATTCTCCTCCACCACGATGCTGTGAACACTAACTCCAAGGCTGAGGGACTGATTACCTCATCTTTTGTATATAGTTCTACAGTCTTCCAATTATGTCCTAGAATTTGTATTGATAAAGCCACTGGATGGCGAAACGTCTACAATAAAGATATCCAGATGTTGCACATGTGTCTTTACTTTCATATTGTTGGTATTTTATACCTTTCTTGCACATTTCTGTTTACTTGTTGAATATGACTGTTGCTGTTGATGCCTCCCTGGCTCATAGCCATCACAGCTGGTTGGTGTGGCAATATTGCTGGTATCTGTTTTTAGCAGGTAGTCTTGGACTATCGATGTTGACATAGTGCTCTCTTATTGTGCCCATGTCACCCCTGCTTTTCACTGGGTGTATTTTACACTTCTTCCCATATCTCTTTCAGTACATTGTTTTGGTAGTGTATACATTTGGGACTAAGCCCTCAGGTATATTTGACTAAATTAATTTTTTTTGCATTTTTTTTTTTCAGAATTTTTATCCTGTCAATTTCCTTCGTAATGTTGGGGTGCAACATGTAAATACACCATACGTCTTCCTAACAGATATAGACTTTCTTCCCATGTTTGGCCTTTATGTCTACCTAAGAAAAACACTTCAAAATTTACACCCTGATGATAGCAAAAAGGTGGGTAAATATGCATAATTAATTGTGAGGATCACTTTGTTATTTAAATTAACAGAGATTCACTAGTGTTGGAGTTACATAAAGTATTAGTTATGGAGTCCATATTTAATTTTCTAAACTCCTTTCTTGGAGTTTGTCTCTAAGCTTGTGTAACCAATTTTTAATTATTTATTTACATGGAATCTACAATGTCCAACTTTTTATCTATCAGTCTCCTGAGTGAATTGTTAAAAATGCATTAAGCTTCAATATAAAATAGCATATGTCCTTTATGGTCTTCAACTTTGAAAAAATGGTTTCATTATATAGTAATCTTTCTCAAACAGCTAAGCAGGGAAGATTTGTAAATGTGCGCTTGAAACATTTGCTTTTACAGTATAACAATATTTACTTTTCTCTTCCTACAAATCTATATTGCACTTTTTCTTTTCCTCGCACATCAAGGACATGGAAAATTAATTATATAACATTGAAAATGAAGAGGATTCCAAATGCTAGCTTTATAATCAGAAGTAAATATCTTTCAACAAATCGGCTGTTTCCCACCGAGGCAAGGTGGCCCAAAAAGAAAAACAAAAGTTTCTCTATTTAACTTTAGTAATGTATACAGGAGAAGGGGTTAGAAGTAAATATTACTACCACAAAATAAATAACTGCTGTGAAATAAGTGAACACAAATTGGAGCAGGAGTAGGAGAAAGAACAAAGTACCTGGACTGTTTGTGCTATTTAGATTAAAGAGGGTAGAGGATGGGAAAAAAAATGGGTGCTACCAATTTTTACACATGGTTGCTGGTTTGTGTTATTTTTTGTTTTCTTTGTGTTGATATACTTGTGATGTTTATTAAACGTGTTCATCCTTAACTGAAACCAAGAGCAGCTGCCTTCATCACTCATTCACACACTATATACCCAGGCATCTAATGCCCACACCATAACAGTGAGAAGGAGAGCTCACATAAAGAGTGTTGTGTCAGATACGATGAGGCAGAAATGTAATCATGCTGACTATTTCTGCGTGTAGAGATAGGAAGCATGTAAAATATGACTGCAGGACTGCATTTCTGCCTCTTCATACTGCCTCTCTATACATGTTGGGATAGGAAGCATGTAAAATAGAACTGCAGGACCACATTTCTGCCTCAGTGTATCTGACACAACACTCTTTACATGTGCTCTCCATCTTCTCACTGTTGTGTGTGGTGTGCAAAGGAGTCATGAAGGCAGCTGCTTGTGCAGGAGGGCATGGTGTGAGTAAGTGGAGCTGCTGCATTTAAACTATTTTCACAAATTGAACACTGTAGTTCTCTTCGTTAATATTTGTAGGATCGTCTATATAATCATTAGTCGAGCAGCCATCATAATTATTAACCACTTCACTGACTGTGCCGTAGTGCTATGCCTTTGAGTTCACTGGCCATGCCATGGTACTACGGCATGAGCTCAGCTCACTCAGATAAGTGTGAGCGGTAAATTTGGGCCTAGATGTGAGAGAATGGGTCGATGTGGTAAATATGCATTATATAAAAAAAATCCTGCAGCAAGCAGTGCATAATGAGAAAACCCTGCAACTGTGTTTTTGGTTTAAAATCAGTTTTGCAGTGTATTTTCATATTGTTTTTATGGTTATATTCTCAGTTTCCAGGTCTCATTTGATAGAATGGAAGATATATTATAGAAATAGAGATGATTTTGATTGGTTTTAGGACAGGAAATAGTGTGAATTTGAGCTTAGATTAGCAAAAATGTTGGACATGTATTGGACATCATGCATCCGACACACATCCAACTAGTGGATCTAATATGCGTTCACGAATGCGCTGATATTATTTGTACAGTTATTACAATATTGCATAACAGTAAATCTATTTTTTTTGTGTGAATAAAAAATCAAAATGGAATTCATGTGTAAAGCTTGGGAATATAACTAATGAACAGAGGAAATGTTATTCTAGTGCCAGAAATGCCTGCATTCTTTATTCTGGACTCTGTTTTGAAATTGTAATACAGTGGTACCTTGACTTAGGAGTTTAATTTGTTCCGTGACCGAGCTCATAACTCTATTTGCGTGTATGTTAAATCAGTTTTCCTCATTGAAATTAATTGAAATGCCATTAGTCTGTTCCAGCCCCCAAAAGCCACCCCAATTTTTTTGTCATGAGTTTTTAAATAAGAAAAATGTATTTATAAATAAAAAATGTTTTTTCCTTTTTTGCCAGGTCCCAGCAATGTTTTAGAAATGCTGGAGTATATATGACATTCCTTGAAGCTTTGTGTAAGATGAGTGTCACTCCACGGCTGACAGTGCAGCAGTGGAGTGGCATTTGATGATCGTGCACTGCCTTGGCTTTATTTTTCACTGTTACACATAAACATGTCTGTCTAGCTTTGTCTCTGCTTATATGTCTTTCTGTCTGCCTGTGTTTCTGTCTCAGAGAGAGATCCTCTCATGAACCAACAGGTATTACACACGATGCAGAGCCGTAATGTCTGATTCCTGAACAAGTGAAAATGTGTATTACTTGCCAGTCATGCTTATTATACTTATATCTACAAGCATAGTACAATATAGCATTTTGTCTGTATTTTTTGGGGTTATCCTAGGCAATTTACACTATGTACAACTGTATTTATGTGTACCTGTGAGATAGATACAGAGAAAATTTGCACAACTTTAATGCTTCTTATTTGAAATACAGTGGACCCCCGCATAACGATCACCTCCGAATGCGACCAATTATGTAAGTGTATTTATGTAAGTGTGTTTGTACGTGTATGTTTGGGGGTTTGAAATGGACTAATCTACTTCACAATATTCCTTATGGGAACAAATTTGGTCAGTACTGGCACCTGAACATACTTCTGGAGTGAAAAAATATCGTTAACCGGGGGTCCACTGTACTCATTTGTACTTCATGTTGTAATTTGTTTACTGTAGTTTTTACCACTGAATATATCATTGCTTAGTTAATCTTAAGTTAATTTTAAGCCTGCCCATAATGCTCTGCATACAAGGGGCTTTTGGCATGTACACCCAATCACTATATTTCTTTGTACAACTATATATCATGTCCAAATAAAAAAATAAATAAATAAAAATCAGCCAGCCAGCCGGCTGCCCACCCAACCAGCTGGCCTATCGAACATATGTTACACATGTTCCAGAATTGTTTCTCTTTACCTAGGGCATAAGTTATAGAACATTCTGGCAGGATGACATTACCAGTGGTATCAGAATTGAAAGGATGTTACATATTGGTTATTATTAAGGTTTCTGATATTTCCTTGGTATCTCCTGCGAGTGGTAGCGTATCTGAAGCTTGCACATAACTCGGATTTTGGCTCACAACTCAAAGCAAAAAATCGACCAAGCGACAGCTCATAACTCGGAAAACTCATAAGTTGGGGCACTCGTAAGTCAAGGTACCACTGTATTTTGAAATTTGTGTGAATTTGGCCAAATTACCAATTTCTGATCACTTCATTGGTTAGTTGAAATAATTGATTGGGCAATTTCTTGTGCTCATTTGATAAAGACATGCTTGTGAAATAGCTAAGGATTTGGGTGACTGGAACAATGTAATTGGCATAAAATAGGACTCAAAGTGAGCAAGCAGCGATTAACCCTTTGACTGTCGCAAGCCCCTTTCTTAAACTGTCATTCTATGTCGCAAAATTTTTTTTATGAAGTGATAGAGAATCTTTTCCCGATGGTAATGACACCACTCACAGAATTACGCTCCGGCGAAGTTAGCGGTCTTGGCAACATATACGCATCGGCGATTTTGCCGAATTTGAGCCCTGTTTTTGGCCAATTCCGTTGTTCCAGTTGACCAAACTCATAGCTATTTCTTTAGAACTCCATTTTTTCTATCAGTTGAGTACAAGAAACCGCCCATTTACCGATTTGAACCAACCAATAAAGTGGTCAGAAATTGGTTATTTGGCCAAATTCACGCAGATTAAAAAAGATGCCAATTTCAAAATAATGTCCAGAATAAACCATACCCCCGGCCGGGATTGAACCCGCGGATTCAATCCCGGCCGGGGGTATGGTTTGTTTGCAATCGTGTCATTACGATTTCTTGAGTCATGTTAAGGTCCAGAATAAACAGTGTAGACATTCTTGGCACTAAAATAACATCCTCTGTTCATTAGTCATGTCTCTAGGCCCCTCTTACATTACTATTGCTTTCTATTTTGAATTTTTATTCGTACAAAAAATAAAAAATTTACTGTTATGCAGACTACTGCATTATTGTAAAAATTGTATAAATAATATCAATTTTCTAGTGAAAGAATATTAGACTCCCCAGTTGACGTGTATTGGACGTGTGGTGTGATTTGCTTACTCCTGAACATTGGTAAAAATCAAACATTTCTGCTACTTTGAGCTCAATTTCAAGGTCATTTTCATTGTGAAACTAATCAAAATCATCTCTATTTCTGTAATATGTTTTCCATTTTATCATCTGAGACCATGAAAATAAGAATACAGTGATAAATACTATATGAAAATACACCTCAAAGTCTGCGTTCTAATCCCAAAAAAACGGTCAGTTTTATTTTTTCTCATTATGCACTGCATGCTGCAGGAAATTTTTTATGTGATGCACTCTGACCACACAGACCCATTCTCTCACATGTGGGCCTACCAGCTTTCTCCCGCTTGATTTGAAGCCGACAGAATTTTTGCGTATAAATACGTCCGAAACAGTCAAAGGGTTAACCCTTTCAGGGTCCAAGGCCCAAATCTGGAGTCACGCACCAGTGTCCAAGAATTTTCCAAAAAAAAATTTGTTATTTTTTCTTATGAAATCGTAGAGAATCTTTTTGTGAAGGTAATAAAACAAAAAGTACAAAATTTGGTGGAAAATTGACGAAATTATGCTCTCGCGAATTTTGATGTGTCAGCAACATTTACGAATCGGCGATTTTGCCGACTTTGACTCCCATTTTAGGCCAATTACATTATTCCAATCAACCAAATTCTTAGCTATTTCACTAGTATTACTTCTATTCTATCGATTGAGCACAAGAAATCGCCAAGTCAACTGTTTCAACTACAAAATAAAGTGATCGGAAATTGTTAATTTGGCCAATTTAACACAAAGTTCAAAATATTCCAATTTCAAAATAGGGTCCAGAATAAACAATGTAGGCATTCCTGGCACTAAACTAATGTTTCCTCTGTTCATTAGTTATGTTTTGAGGCTTTACAAATAAATTTCATTTTGAATTTTTATTCACATAATGAATTTTTATTCACACCAAAAAATAGAAGATTTACTGTTATGCAATACTGTAATAATTGTATAAATATCATCACCATATTTGTGAATGT